TAATGTAGTTTATGTACTTAATTTTAAATAAAATTCATACTACACCCTTATTAATGACTAGTGAGTTATTAGTTGATATGAGAGAATAATAGTTGAAATTAATTAAATATTCTTGATCTCAGTGAAAGTTGGAAGGTATATTAGAGAGTTTATAGAAAAAAAGTTAATTAATTGTTTGAAGTGGGACTAAGTTTTAAAACATCCCAAAAGGGGAAGTGAGCCTATTGAAAAGAAATGGAGAAAGTATATGATTAAAGATATATTTATACATAACTACGCTTGACTTTAAAAACTTTTTTTTTGTATATTGCAATTTATTAAGTTCACACCATGTGACAGAATAACTACTAGTGTAGTGCATCTAAGTAAGAAATAATTCGTTAAATTAGTTTATACAAATTTTATAGTTAAATAAGATTGCGACTAAAAATAAAAGAACCAAATTATTCTTTTGATAACCACAATGTAATAAGGGATGGTTTTGTGTTTATTCATTTGCCAAATTGATTAATGTTCTATTCACTATGTATTTTTGCCGTATATTAATCTTTCACAATTTAATAAATTTTTACGAAAATTATTATCAAAAACAATCTTCAAATATACATATGTGTGACTATTGTAATACAAAAGTTTCCTAAATTGCATTGAAACTGTAAATAATTTCAAAACCTAAACATAAATGTTTCTAATTGACTAAAGTTTAATTTTATTGACAAGTTTAATTTAAATAATACAAATACTAACACTTCTTTTTTTTTTAAAAAAAAAAATTACCATGGGTCTGGGTACTTAAGTTAATTTGGTAGGAGGGAGATTTTGTGGCCAAAAAATGTGGGGGAAAAGTCCCGCCTCACCAAATTACCATTTATTTTTTTAATATTTATATTTCAGTTTTATTAGATAAAGACACCCAACTCAACACTTACACTAGAGTCCCTTCCCCAACGATTTCATCGTCTTCTCTCCCTCCCCGACCAATCGATGTTTTCCTTTCATATTCTTTACCGGTCGGAAGCCGTGTGGTCGGAGTCTTGCAGATCTAGGATAATCAGTTTTATTTGGGTTCATTTTATTTCGTTCCGGCATTAGATTTTGGTTATCCCATATGACTACTCTCTTTCAGTGATAAACAAGAGGTCGATCTGATTAAAATCGTGGATTTGTTGCTGTGGATGTCGGTGTCAAGATGTACGGGGCCAACGGTATTGTAGACCAGAATGTTTTTGATCGAGGCTGCGGAAAGTTGGATCGGGCGGTGGGAATGTCGAACAGAGTGTTGCATCAGAGGTGATGTGCTAAATTCCTCGATTATATTAAGTTTTTTTTTTTTCTCTCTCTCTCTCTCTCTCTCATTTGTGTTTAGATATCAATATATCTTACTTAAGGTTTGATTGCGGACATAGGTTATGATATCGAAGGAGATGCAAATGAAGCTGATAAAGTCTCGGGCAAATTCTAATCGGGTTCGATTTCATGAGATGTGAGGAGAAGTAAAAGAAGAGCAAGGAAGTCAAGAGCCAAAGGTAAGGGTGTTGGACAATCCTTTTGATTTTATGCAAATTCTTTGTTGTCGGAAGTCATTTATATTAAATTAGGATTTAAGCGATCTGGGAGAGATAGGGAGTTTGTTTGCAGCACTTTTTTTTTTTTTGGTGAAACTTATGAACATCAAATATATCAAATGATTAGAATCACTGATTAAGACTTGGAATGTGCTATTTGGGTTTATTAACCTCAACTTGCCTTGTTTTGGAGTATTATATATTGAAATGAGATATTAGAAGTGCGGGGATGTTTAGGTTGAAACATTTAATAAGAAATGTAAGCTAAATATCTGGTTCAGTTAGAAATTTCAGAACATAGTTGCTGTTTTGTAAGGTCCGATTCTTGTGTCTTGTCCCTTACATGTTTTTCTCATGAACCTTTACATAGTATGTCCATGGTTGGCCTGGCTTGTACGAATTATTGATTTGTTGTGCCGGTCACTCTAAACTTTGCTGAAAACATGACTTGACTACTTAGATTTCAATTGAGAGGCATCTTTTTCATAGTTCTGGAACTCGTTTCCTGGATTTCTTTTCGCAAATAACTTCTTCATTTGGTATAGTTTAATGCAATATTTTACAGATTGCAAAACAGAGTTATAGTTTAACCGTAAGGTTAATTTGAACATGCATATAACTTTTTGAAAATCTGTCTGCAATGGCTGTTTTCAGAGATTCATTACTCTTGATCATTGCACTATATTTTGAGCCTTCTTTTCATGGACTCCTTCTAGGTTTGCTGAAGTTTATTTCAGAGTTAATGAATCTTTGAATGGACTTACGGTTTGTCCATAAAGTGAGTTTGAATATGATCAGTTCAACATGAAAATCTGATTTAAAAGAAATGGTTAACTTTGGTAGACATATTGATTAAGAAACTTTCGGTGTATTTACAGCGGGGGTTAGATGCATCCCTTATTGTATACAGTTATTCATAGTTGCAAATTGCAATATGATGGACATTTAATTGGTTCGTTTGATGGATTTTTTGAAGATTACATTTTGCTGGATGTTAATCTAATCCTAGTTGTTGATTGCTCAAGGTTCATAGTCTTTTATTTTTGACTTTTTATTTGAAGCTGCATTTTGTAACTCTTGATGATCAAATCCTCCTGGTGTTTACTTGGCTATATCATGTTGCTATCTTTTTTTGAATATAGGTGATCAATGAAGAATGCTCAAGGATGGCTTTGATTTTGGTATAGAGTTGATTCCATTAAGTTTGATAGATCATGGAGGTCAAGGGTGTTTTTTGTTCTTATTTCAATAGTTCAGATAAAAATTTTCAGTTTTCCCTTGTACAAATTATCATTGAAATTGGATAAAATATAGTTGTACTGTTATTTACATTCTACTATGTTTATTAAGATTGTTGGGCATGGATATTTGTTGTACAATTTGTTTTGAAAGCATTTAAAAGTTTGATGGATTGAATTGGATTTCAAGATGGAATTGGTATCTAATATTATATGCAGATAAATTAGAATAATGAGATGAATATTGGGTCTCTTGTAAGCGTCTTGATATACTTGTAATGCTATGGACATTTTTAAGTGTCCTAATAGAAAAGATATCTATTGACACTAGAAAGTGTCTTAATTGGTGATACTTAATGGAATATATTTAAGTGTCCTTTTAGAATCACGATCTATTAAGTTGTTTAAAAGCGTCTTAACTGGAAATCACTCATTGGGACGCTTAAGCATTAGAGGACGCTTTTTTCTGTCTTCCGACCTTTTAGGACGGTCAACTACAAAACGTTTTTCCATTCGTCCCGAAAGCGTAAACGTCCCAATATGTGGCTTAGCAGCGTCCCAAAATGAGTTTTTTTTTTTTTAGTGATTTGTGGGTTTTTTTAATACTTTGCCTTAGTGATATATAGATGAGAGTGTTTAGTTAACTTCTGATGATAATTATTTAATAGCTTTTGGAGTTTAAATAGTGATATTTTCTTAAATATTACTAACTCCGTTTTTTATTTGTTGTTTTAGGGCAAAGTGTTTTTTTATCTGTCGCACTTTATTTTCAATGCAACATTAAATACAATTTTCCAATTTTACCATTATCTCTCTCTACTTTTAATAATATATATTAATGACAATTACATACTCTTCTACTTCAATTTTAAATTTTCTAGAATTCCAATACTTTTAATTAGGGACAAGAAAGACAATACTTTTATATAAATTCTCAATTATTGTTTTTATAGTTGTGCTAAGCTTAAAGTGACAGTTAAAAAAAAACGGAGGTAGTATATATGTGACGCTTATTGGGTTGCGTTATCTATTAGGAGATTACAATTAATCTGACCATGTTTTGTGCATGCTTAAAGAAAAAAAAATCAGATATCGAAAATTCACTATAGAGATTAAACTGATTTTTTTTTTCCTGAGATTTGCAACCAAATTGGAGAATGAGCTCAAAAGTTGGGGACTAATGACGTTATTTTTCATTTTATAGTTTTATCGAACGGTAGAGAATAGAGATGGAGGGAGAAAGATCCCTCTCTATATTTTTTCTCAAGTTTTAAGGGTTTTTTTTTCCAAGAAAAAAGTCTACCTAATGTGGCACCTGGACTCGACCACACGCAATCTTTCCCCTCCGCCAAGCGTCTAATAAGGGAGTTGGAAGAAAAAATGGATAAACCTTTGAATAAAATATTTTCCTATTCGGAATACAAAAAGTCTTTTCAATGATTAAATTATAAGAGAGTTCTAAATACAAAGCTAAAGTAAGCCGCGTCATTCACTCAATCTTCATCCTAATCTTCCCTGTTTTTCTCCGCTTCAGTTGTTATCTTACCGCTTCGTTCTAGTTCCTTGGTGTTCCTTCTACACCGAAAGGTCAAAGGTGCCATATCCCCGATGAAACTTTCAATTATGATGGTGGTTTTGATGCTTTTCCTTCTTCAATTTGTGCTAATTTGACTTAGTTCTCGATATGGATTGCGTTCGGTTGGGTTTGTAATTATTATTATTTTTTTGTATCTCTTTGTTGTGTTATTTATTTAGTTGATTTTGAGTGTTGGATTGTATTTGTTGGACTGAATTATGGGTCGGTTTTTTCTCCTATATATGGTTACATGATGATACTGGGTATTCTGGGAATATACTGGGTTTATTGATGTTGATGTTGATATGGCCACATGATAAAGTTGCTATCTTTTTGTTCCCCCAACCCCCCCCCCCGGGTCTTTAGTGTCCTGAGTGTTTGATTGTCTTTGTTGAACTTAATTATTGGTGGGTTTTTCCTTAATTTTGGTTATAGTGAAGTTTCTCTCTTTTGCAACCTTGCTATGTGTGGGAATAATTGATAAAGGAAGGTGACTATATTAGGCTAGGAAAGAGTCCTCTTTTTTATTATAATTGTTTTGTTGGAAGAGCTAAAACTGATTGACTTGCATGTGTGGATTGATGTAGGATACTACCCTGTTGCTGAAAATTTTCAGAAGAGATGGCAAAGAGCGCATTCAAGCAAGAGCATGATTTTGGTTTGTTCTGGACTCCTGCGTTATTGTAATTTTAAGAAAAGCAAGCATATTTGAATTTTTGGGTTAAGCTTCTTTGTTTTTATTTTCTGATCTTCAGAAAAGAGGCGTGCAGAGGCTGCCAGGATCAGAGAGAAATATCCAGATAGAATTCCTGTGAGTTACTTCAAATTGATTGATATCTTGTTTACATATCATGTCTATATTTTGGCCCTATTGAATGAACATTAATCGAATGGCTGGTTTAAAGGTTTAGCTGTGTTTTAATTTTTTAAACTCTAATTGGTTGAGTTCTGTTGATAGTAGCTTTGATGTTGAAGTTTTCATGTGCAATTCCTTGGTTCATGTTTCAAGTTGATCATATGCTCTGAATTTTGGCATGGAACCCAAGTAAGAAGAGAAAAAAGGATTATTTGAAAAAGAAAGTCAATAGCTAATATGTAGTCAAAGATCCTGAGAAATGTTATTGAATCGAATTTATGGAAGTTTGTGATCAAAAGAGATAGTGTAACTCTCAAAAGGTCACCGCTTTCTATTCTTCAGCAACTCATTGTATTCAGTGGCCATTATTTTTCTCCCTGTTACTGCATCTGCATAAGCATACGACTTTGTGAAGAGTTTAGTACGTTACATGTTAGGTTACTGCAGTTCCTAGTTAACTCGAAATGAGTTTACCGTTGAAATCTATTAGTGAGGTTGTCTGTCTGTCAGAGAGAAGAATGACTTTTGAAATCGCTGTTTAGAGTGATATCATAAGTTATGCAAAATCTTTTCTCTATAGCTTCAGCAAAGGCTTGTTTAAACTTGGTTTTTTCTGCTCCAAGTATCATAACTGTATACAAACCTAGACAGGTGTACGTAAGTTTATATCGCAAGTTTAGGCATGTTTCTGTGATTGGTGCCCTTTTCCAAATTATTGCATTTACCACTTCTTTCAACTCTTTGGCCAACTATTGCTTGTGGAGTTCCTTGCTGCAATACTTTTTTTTCTCCTTTTTTTTCCCGGGGTCACTGCTGTATTATGTTGTATTCTTGTCAAATTTTAATTATTATATTCTGATCTTTGTAGGTTATTGTGGAGAAGGCGGAGAAAAGTGATATTCCCAACATTGATAAGAAGAAGTATGCTTTCTGCACTCTGATTTTATAGATTCTCATATTGTATTCCATGATATAGTAACTTCTGGTTATGCTAACTGAAACCTGCTTAACCTGCTGCTAACTAGATCGATCGTTTAAGCACAACTGGATGTCTCTTCACACTTGCATTAGATCGTTTATTTAACATTCAGGCAGTGTATCCTTGGTTAGGGATGGAAAATTTTCCTAAGACCAAATTAGCTTGTTCAGATTAACTTAAACGTTTACTAGAAATCTTGTACACTGAATGGAGTTTCTTCAAGTGATAAAGGATTAGATATTGTTCTGTACAGACTTTGGTTTAACCCTTATTGGCATCATTTAGACTTGGAACTGTTCTCTCCATTTTATTCACTGATTGGCTCTTTTCCTTGCTATGGATTTATCACTGGCTTCAGTATTTTGTTCACTTTGGGTAATATTACTGTGTCAGACTTTAAACTGGGGAAATTCTTGCCTATGCTCTTGTGACCATGTCAACTTGATTAAGATCCATTTCAAGAATCTGATTGCCTGATTTGTTGGTTTGGAGTTCACAGTTCTATTCTTAAACATAACCATTGGTTTCACTAGTTTACTCAAGTTCATGCTTTGATGAGCTTCCTTTTAGGGTTTAACAGTTAGTTTCCTCACTTGAATCTCCATAGGTTGAAAGATTAAAATGTTACAACGGGCATGCTGCTATATTTTCCATCCATATCAAGTTCCATAATCATCACTTCCGTCTGCAGGTACCTTGTTCCAGCTGATCTAACTGTAGGGCAATTTGTCTATGTTATTCGCAAAAGGATCAAACTGAGTGCTGAGAAAGCCATTTTTATTTTTGTTGAAAATGTCCTACCTCCTACAGGTTAACTCCTTTTCTTTGCCTATGTTTTATATCCGAATGGCCACGTCTTATGAATCGTTAGTTTTTCCTATTTGGAGTTGCCGGCCTCAGTTTCCACTTACAATCGACCTCTGTTTTGGGATTTCAGGAGCAATCATGTCAGGCATTTATGAAGAAAAGAAAGATGCAGATGGCTTCCTCTACGTTACTTATAGTGGAGAGAACACATTTGGAAATGGAATCGTACTTTAGCTACCCAGCCATTCCATTTGTTTGACAATTTCTTCAACCATTCACCATTTATCTACTGTCTTTATGGTTTAGATTCTCAATATTGCGATGCCCACTGAAAAGATGTGGTATCCTTGTATAGAAAATAACGTTGTATAGGTCTAAAAACTTCCAACAGGAGCACTGTTTCCTTGGGAACAACTTATATAACTATATTTAATAACCCGAATTCCTTTGCTTGTACATATTCAAATTGATGATGTGAAGTACTGGTTTATGGTTGATTGGCTTCCTACTTTGTTTTTGGTTTCTGGGAATCATACATTTAATTAGCTTTAAACCAGGAAAACTCAGTGAGGGAGGATATGAAAGAGTTAAAAAAGAATGTATATTTCATGTTCCCTTTGAAACTCCTGTGCACCAAAAATCAAATTATCTCAATCCAAGTGAGCGTGATCTGCAGCATAACACGATCTAGATAGAAAACTACAAGCAGGAATGAACCTATCAAAGGATAAAGGCACCAAGACATCAACTGAGAGGTCTTGAAATTTCACTAGTTATAAAATGTAAGAATTTCTTCCGCTTATTGAAATATGTTCTTGTACAAGTTTAATGCAGCAACACCATTTGTTCGTTAAGGCAACATGAAAATTACGTGTAGAGGACGACAAAGACTTCAATAGATGATGGAATAAGACATAGCAAACCTAGAAGAAATCGAATTTGATGAACTGATAATAAACCGAGACAGTTGAATAAAATAAAAGCCCGATTGGGCATATTGTGGAAGACAAGAAAAGTGGATCTAGTCACACGCAATCAAATAAATGATGAACAAATAATTGCAAATTATGCACCAAACTCCAAGTCCTAATCAAATGACAAATTTATCAATCAAGTTCAGTGAATTTTGAGATTTATCAATCAGCCGTACCCAAGATTGTTGAAATTTTTTGGCATTTACATCCCTTAAAAAGTCTAAAGACAAAAGAGGGAAGGCAGGAGGGACCTAAACATGTTGCTCCCTTCGTACAGAGTAATCTTTGTTAGCGATTGACGCGGGGAAAGACTGGACAGCATTGTTTTTTTTTTTTTTTTTAAAGAGGGAATGTGGAAAGTCAACAATGTAGACAATTTATATACTTGTTCATAGTCTAAAAATGTTCTATCACCAATGAGAATCAATTCCGATATACTTATAGAAACCTCTATATTAACTATTCTTTCCGTCAAAAAAAAAAAAAAAATAGTTACTCCCTTCGTCTCATAATTATTGTCCAGTTTGTGTTTTCATCTCTAGTTCAATTTCTCCTAGAAATAAAATCTCAAACTGGACAATAATTTTAGAACAAAAAGAGTATGATATTTTCTCTATCTCTAAATGATTATCTAATTTATATTTTTATTTTAAATATGATTTATATTTGAAAGTGAAAATTCAAACTGAATAAAGTAAAAAAAAATATAAATCTACACTGGATAGCTATTTTAAAACAGAGAAAATATAATATCTATTAGACAACGTTCGATCTCAACCACCCAAGCAAAGCAATGGTGACCCATTTGGGTTTTCTGTGGCAATCGTATATCTCTCACATGGCAATGGCACATGGATGTTATTCCACGTGGCATGTATCTTAAGCAGTGGCCTAGAGTGGGTTTCTCAACACGGGCCCTCTGTCTGTCTTGGGCTGGTAATGCAAATGGCGGTTGGGCCATGTAAACTTGTCTCTCCATTTTCTTTTTCTTACTCCTTGGGCCCATTATTTTACATCCCCCCCATAACCTGTTGGCCCCAGCTGTTTTTGAACCTTCAATAGCCTTGTGGAAAAGAATGACTATATTTTGTTTTCGTTTTAGACTTAAAAAGTAAGTGAAAATAATATTTTGAATGGAAGTTTGAGAAGTTATATGAAATAAACTTTTGTTAATAAAATATTTTTGTCATCAGGGGTTGACAAGTGTGGCTTAGTGGACGGTGGTGGTTGAAGATTAAGCACTATCTAAGATGAAAATCAAACTAAGAGTTAAAAATGTTGTGTGACTACAACATTTGGGAAAAGAGCACAAATCCCCTGAGTTATGTACAAAGGACAAATTGCTCTCGATATTTCGTATAAGGACAATAACCTTCCTGACCGTCAAGTCAAAGGACAATTTGCCCCCTACATCAACAAATCTTAGTTTAAAAAGACAAAAATAACCTTAAATCCAAAATAATCTATTTCAAGGCCAAACCTACTCTCTAATCAATTCTTTTTTTTTTTTTTTTTTATAAATCCTTAAACAGTTTGGCTCCTATTTAATCTGCCGTTGACTCCATTTTGATGTATTAATCTCCCCTATCACTCCCGCCTCAATAAAAATAAATCCGAGATTGAGAATTTAATCTATTATTGAGGCAGCAGTGATAGGAATAAATAATGCATCAAAACGGAGTCAGTAATAGATTTAAAATGGCGGATAATAGAATTTATAATTTTTTAAAAAATAAATGAGTTGGTTGGAGGGTAAGTTTGTTGTAAAAAAAAATTCTTTTTAGATTTAAGGACGTTTCTATCTTTTCACGCTAAGATTTGCTAATGCAGGAGGCAATTGTCCTTTAACCTGGCGGTAAGGGGTTATTGTTCTTATATGAAATGTCGAGGGACAATTTGTCTTTTGGACATAACTCAGGAGTTTTTTGTCCTTTTCCCAAAACATTTTTGTCTCGATTCTTATGTTTGAGAAGTAAACCAATGTTTTTTAGGTTCGGGGGAATGGATATACATTCCATACTCTTACAAGTTCGTGATCAGAGCAGTGAAAGTGATTTTGAAATTCAACGAAAGAATTAGTACCGTCACGCGCCAAAAAAGGTATTGAAAGTGTTTACCGTACGTCGTGATACATCAAATTTATTGTGAAACGAAACAAAACAATTAATCTACACTCCTAATAATTATTGACTAAAATAAACAGGGAACTATAAATTTATGCATGTGTTATAATCATGTCAATTAATTAATGTTTAATCCACCGTGTGAATTACTAAATACAACTTAATTAAATTTCCCACAACTTGTAAAAAAGATTAAAATATCCTTAAATCCTAAACTTCGCATTTCACTGGTGTATACCATTTTCCCTGTTATTGCTTACTTCATTCCACCTTATTCCGTTTGTTTTTTTGCGCACGTTGGTCAGATCATAATCTATGACACTTCTCCTTTTAATTTCTTTGAACAAAAACCCCGTTTAATTTGTTTATTAATAGCATTATATTCACATCATCTACATCATTCATTTCGTAAATACATTTGTACACTGTTCCTTTGTTTTAATGATTATATACAAGACCTGTCCATAGATTACAAGAAATGGCTTCTTCTTCATTAGTGCGTAATGGCTTCTTCTTCATTAGCGCTAATTCTTCTTGCATCATTAAACATAGTTTTATTCCTTTCGCCAGTAGATGGAAACATAAAAAAATTCTGCAGGATTATTTGGAAAAAAAAATTGCACAAACAATAGGATTCTGAGTCAAACTGAAACACATCGATGCGGAAGCCCGTCGTATCCAGCAACTTCACAAAATTCAAGCTCTTAAAACGCACAATAAATCACGATAAAAAGGATACCCGGAACGACTTAATTGACACAATATAAGTTATGTACTCAGTGTTTCAATTAATCTACTCTTGTATTTGATCCCAAGAAATCATCGTCTTATTATCTATTTCATGCTCCTGCAACTTACTGAGAGGGTTTAGGATTTAAGGATATTTTAGTCTTTTTCATAAACTGCGCAAAGTAAAATCAATCTGCATTTAGTAATACTTTTTTTTTTATTACAAACGTTATTTTCCTAAATGTAATAGACATAAAAGTTGAAACTATTCTTGTGCAAAACAATTTTTCTTTTCTTTAAAAAAGGAGGGACTCTTGAATAATTAGACGAAGGGAATAATTAATTGTTGATTTGACGGTACCTCAATTATTTCTTCTATGTTGCACCATCCCAAATTGCACTTCATATATAAACATCATCGATCACGCTTTTCAGCTACTAATCAAGTATACCTTTCACTAATGTAACTTTCAATTTGTGAACATGGTATGCACACAAATTAATTATCACTCTATTTGGAAATAATTATCTAACTTTTATATTACATATTTTTAGTGAAAAAAATTGGCAACCATTTTGATATTAGAGTAACAATTTTATTCATTATAGTAAAGAAGGTTCGCGCCTTAAAACTTTAACACATTATGAAATATGTAACTCTTATTAAATCATGTTTCAACTGCAGTTTAACCTAGATGATGAGCCACCTTCAACAAGAAGAAGAAGGTTCATGAGAAAGAAGAAATAAACAAACGAATAAATAAAAGGACTTGTATTGAAAAAGGAGAACCATAGGATAAAATTTAGAAACGGTTGGTTTTAGAATGACGACTTGGGAGCAGGAATCAAGTGGGAAAGATAGAGTGAGTTCTTATTTGTGCCCTTTGGATCTTCTGTTTATATTTTGAAGTACGTAGGAAAAATCATTTAAGGCTATATATTATTTCAATCTAAAAAACATATGTGAGCCATAAGTTTTAAAATTTAATAATATAGCTTCTATTAATCTAAAATTGGATCGTTTCAAATGATAGCTAAAAGGTTAACTAATTAGTGATTTAATCATGGGATTCTTCAGAAGATTAATTGTAACAAAAATTTTATTGTAAAACCTACCAGTTTCTCACATTATATGATGATGATAGTCGAAAGCCGACTCTTCTCAAAATAAAAGCAGCAAAAGCAAATTATTCGATTCACTATTCATTCATTTTACAAGAGGATTTACCATTAGCTATCACAAGTCATAACCACGACTTTTTTGAGTCTCAGCTGATTGATTTGCAAATGATGATGATGATCTAATTGTCGGGCCCGTCAGAGAAACAAAGAAGGGACATGGTAGGCTGCCGATATGTTCATCAAATTGTGAAAACCATGTTCGCACCTTAAACACACCCTTCCATGTTCTCTTACACCAACTCTAGAAACCCTGCATTTATTGCTCTTTCTCTAACCCTTAATAAAAACAGAAGTATATATATACATTCATATATAGTTTGTCACAATTGGAGAATTGAGGATATTGATCTTATTCTGAACTGATTCAGTGATCAAAATTGAAGTATAGTTTATACATATATAGATACATCCCTTTGAAATATTACTCCTGTTACCCTTTATCAAAACCCTAAAACTATCAAACTTCCAACCAAAAATGTCTGCAGCTGTTGTTGTTTATCTGATTTTGAGTATTTTGCTGCAAGCATGCACTGCCAGACTTCTTGGCCTTTTTGCTAAGCAAGACATAAATAATGGAAGACTTCTTGAGGAGTTTTCTCAAAAGGTTAGGCTTCTGGTTTGTTTCCGGTTCTTAGACTTATTTTTTGTGGACGTATCTTGAGAATATATAATATGCATGCACTGGAATAATTAACTCTCCTTTTTTTTTTTTTTTTGATGGGGCAGAAAGTTGAAGTATTACGGGAGGCTTATAGGTTAGTGAACTTGGAAACAAATTTGAAGACTGAAGCTGAAAATAGGAAAATTCTGCTTCCAAGTCATGTTGTTTTGATGCAGCCAAAGAAATTTGAGGCAGCCGAAGAAGGAAAAAATGATAATAAAGGTTTCTTTTCCGTTTCTTCACATCTACTCCCTCCGTCCCAAAATTATTGACCAGTTTAAAATTTTATTTTCAATTCAAATTGTACAAAAAGTAAATTCTAAAACTAGACAATAATGTTGAGACAAAAAAATTTTTATTTAACAAATTATTGTAGAACACATTATCCATGGCCATTCATTCGTTCATACATGTATGATCAACCATCTATATATGATATATCCCACGTTGACTGATGTAGAATTCAGTAGCTAGATTGCCTTTATGCATGAGTGTGTCATAATTCAGTATTTATTTTACAGGGAAAAGAGTCATCAGACAATCAATGTTTGATGAGAAGCTTTTACCAATAACAGCAGAAATCCAGGTAACTAAATCAATAAATCATGTTTAGATCGATATTCTCCAATTATATATGTCTTCAATATTTGCGAACTAGTTTTTCATTTAATTAGTTTCCTCATTTCTTTAAAATATTCTAAACAAGAAATACGAGGAAGATTATACAGTACATGTATACTGTAACGCTTGCATGCATGATGATGATGCATCCACGTGAAATTAAGATCAGGCAAAAGAGGCGTAGAAGGGAAAAAAAAAAAAAAACAGTGTGATCGATAATGAATTGACTATGAAAATTATCATTTCATTTAATTGGCAATATGGGATGGTTTAATTTTTCTGACAGGATGATGAACATAAGAGGCAAGAACGGCAAATGATTGAATCCCGACCACCAAACAACTCGGAGGAGACGAATATGGTTTCCAAGGAAAATGACATTGGGGAAGACATTGTTGTGATGGATTATGCACAACCTCACCGCAAGCCGCCCATTCATAACAAGGAACCCTAAAACTAGTAACCCCTTAATAAGGTTCGATATTAATTAAGATGTCGATGTTTTAATCACCCAGCGCCAGTTACAAAATTTTCAGTTTTTAAAAAGCTCATTTTCCTCCTTTCTTGGGGGATGAATTTATGTTAATTCAAGCGTCAAGAAAGATTATTTAGCATGACTATGACTTATATCATCATCAGTGTATAAATCAGTCAAAGATGGCTTTCCTAGAAGAAAAAAAGGCCTCTTTTCTTCACCGGATATGAATATTTTACGATTTACAGATCACATTTGGTTTTTCTTCTTCTCTTTATTTTTTTTATTTTTTTTATTTTTTTACAATTGTTATTACTTCTTTTTGACGAATGTATTGTAGCTACTATTGAAACTGACCTAAAGAAACATACGAGGATGATGTTTTGTTTGATACTGCTGATGTTAAATTTGCAGCTACTACTACTTGACATTTATTGGTTGGTTAATGGTTTCCCCCTCATAAATAAGGTAAAGAGTTGGTTTGTGTTTGTGCAATTGCTGTTTGATTGTCCCAATTTTAGGAGCAAAGAGTCATGCTATGCAGTGAGCTTAAATCCTTCATCACAATTCACATACACAAAACGGAGACAACACGATCAATCATACAATGCAATAATGTTTCATATATAATGCCTCCATGGCAATAAATTAGGCAAATGCAACTTGGATGCACTTTTGGTTCAATGACAGCGAAAGCTTAAACCTATATGAATTCAGCTCATCCTGAACATCAAAGATTCGATTCAAGAATGTCGTGCTACTGCAATGCATTAGTCAAATATCATCAGTACGACACTAATACACGTCTGTGTAAGTCCTATAGTTCTCCAAAAGGGGAAAAGAGGCAAACTGAAAAGGAATATCTAGGCAATAATGGCTAAATCCAATCGACGTTTTAGCTGCAGCCTAAGATAGGGATTAGCAGCTGGGTGATGCATCGCTGCAGTTGACAATAAATGGCTTCATGAGATCAATGAATTCACTGGTCCTTATTCCGAGTTTCAGATCAATCTCACCACCTCCCAACCAAAAGAAATCAGGATTAAGCTTCACAATTGCTTCATCCAAAATCACCTGAGAAAATATCATGATGTATCATCAATCTCCTTACATCAGAAACACGACTTATTAGCATGCTACTCAATGATGGGGAGAGCAACATGTAATCACAACCCTTCCAGAATGCTGTCAAACTGCTGAACGGGTCAAGCATCTCATGTTGAATGATGTTTGAAATAAGTGATAACTAAAAAAGCAGCTCAAGTAATTGCATATACATTCAGTTAAATTTGAGGACTTTACTCAAAGTTCAAACAGTTAAAATGCTCTTAGCAAAAAAGAAACTTCAGCACGTTCAAAGTTCAGTTAACATACCCCGATCGCAAGGTTTTTCAAAACCTCCTAAGTTGGTAAAATATGCTGTATGGGAAATTGACTAGAATATGAATATTATTTTGTTTTATATCATATAGCTCGGAGTCGTAAGGTTTGTATACACATAGGAAAGAAAAAACAAATTACTAATCAATTCGGCATGGGCAAAACAAGCGTCGCTAAGCAGTGTGTAAAAGTTCCAAGTTGTTCTTATAGAGAGGGATAACTTTTTAGGAAACTGATGTATTAGGGCAGTGGGAAGCAAGACAACTTGCACAATTCATTACTGGGCTTACTATGATTACAAGAAACTCATACCTAATAGTCACTTTTCCTCTAAACATGAACCATGGGGGACCTTGGTGCGAGTATCCTTTCCAACAAAACATGGGTTATAGCAAGATAGACAGGAGACCTGACCCTAATTATCAAATATAGGACCCAAGTTGTTCAGGTCATATCAAACACTAGAAAAATGAAGTGGTGGTCCCTCACTGAAAGTGAAGCTATTCATGTGGTGGCTAAGAGGTTTACTAGACACCATCAAACAATTTGACAAAGATGGTTACTGAAAGCAATCAAACAACTTCACAAAGATGGCTAATTGACGCAATCAAAAAATTAGACTAGTTACAACAACAAGATGTAATGAGTTGGTTTACACATCAAAACAATTACTTTGGTGCCAACAATAATCCTGTACAACATATTCAAACTTATGAATGCCGCATGTTAAAACAGGGAACAGTGAAGATAGTAACTACCGGTATGTCTGTTTTCATGCCAACACATGTCACCCCATTGTGTTCATAACCAGTCAACTTTGCTGATATCTCTTCAGGAGCGAGTCTCACTGTATAGAAATAAACCATGAATCATTATCTCACTGAATTCTACACAAAATAATACAAACAAGACAGGGGAGGACCAGTATTAAGTTGACAGATATAAGATATGCTAAAGCTAAGACAATAATGAGCTGCTCAAAGCAACTCAAATGAATGTATACGACAAAATAAACATATTGATGGAGACGTACCTCTAATTTAACCTAAATGGATCAGTGAACATTATAACACGGTTATACCATGCTTAAGCCTAGTTTATTTCTTCAAAGAATTAATCTAAGATTGGCGGAAACTTCTGTCTTCTGCACAAAAAAATGATACGAACTGCTCTGATCTTTACAGCTGAGATGTAGGAAGTCTATTTGAGACATCCTGCTCCACTGGCTAAATTTTCTCAAAAACGGGTAACAACCAGAAATGGCGACTTCATCTTGGTACCTTTTGTTAAGGGGAAAACATCCTGGTTTTCATTGTAATTTAAGCACCAAATATTCTGATCTAAATAAAAGGTTCTCACAACCAATAAACAAATTTAGGACATATGGGAAGTATTTCAAAGTTCAGCAACACAAATCCAAATTTAACAGAACCAATACATGGCCAACACGGATCCCTGTAATTGACAATCCACTAATAAGATCTTCCACAGTACAAAACATGATACTATAGTGCAGGCAAACAATTCTTCAGCAATTAAAGTAAAGCCAAATTTTTTTTTCTACTTATTATTAAAAAAACACATGCACACACAGACATGTACACATCCTCATTTACTGCAAGGACACTTCGCAGTTTGCAGGGTGTTACAACCCAATTAGAGCAGAAAATGCAGATAAAAATCATAATTTGAAGCTGTTCGTAGGGTGCATATTTCAACAAAAATTTACAGCTGCAAAATTATTTAACCAGACAAAAGTATTTGAAAACAGGTTTTATGCAACGCCCATCTTCTAGATTTATAACTGAAAATCCATGCAATCTTCTACCATACTTCTACATTTTACTAATGCTCGAAAAAAGCTTCAAGTAAGATGCACATCTTCCACTCTAAGCTGAAGTTTTCACTTTGTCAACACTAGGATTTCAATTTCAATGTACACAATAAAGCTTGATGCACATGCATAAACAGAGACTAATGGAATGCCAATTTTCAAGTGTTTAGGAAAACATGGGAGTTTTCCACATTTCTAACCCTTCTGTCTACATGCTTCTTAATCAAATTCATTTTCCACAACGAAAATAGAAATCAATTGAACCTGACATCTACCAACTCACTATTAAATTTCTTCTTGGATATCTGGCCATTGTTCAATTCATACAGAAAGTTCTTCACAAATTCAGCATTGAACCGAGCAGTATACTGCAATAATGAGAAGTACAATTTCCGTCTCATCAAATCACCATCCATTATTTACTTTCATATATGTATAGAAAAAGACGGTGAGAAGATTTTATAAAAATACAGTGGATAAAAGACCTGTACAATAGCAACATAATATTTTGAATTGTTGCGATCACTGCAGTCAGTAACATGTGCTGGTGCTCGATTATTCACCTGGAGAAACAGAGACAAGAATGTCTCAATAAGGGGCAAAACAAAAGGAACATAAAACCAAATCCTACCATTATCAAAACTGATCACATCGCATTGACAGAAACTACATAGTTTGGTGCCAGAATACTGAACTCTATTCTAAATAAAACCATGACATTTCATTCATTGGGCATGCTTGATATACATATAGGTTTATTTATTTATTTTTTTGATGAACTAATAGTTGGATTAGAGGATATTGTTTTTTGCATGTTTACAGTCCAAATTAAAACACCAATATGATAAGAGGTTACAATACAGGATAATAGCAAGTGAAAGCCTCAAAACAATTCTACCTAGTTTGATAACTTCGACTAATTTAGCATTGGGAAAAAAAAAGGAAAGGAGAAAAATACAGAGTCTCAGATTGCAATTTTACAATTCCATAAAGTTCATAAATTTAACAAATGCACTTGGAGAAGACATCGTACAGACTGTGGGATTACCAATACAATGCTTTTGCAAATATGATGGATAGAAGCTGCGCCCAGGACGTCCCGGCGGGCTTCGAGCGTCCAATCGTAGTAATCGGAAGGGACCCGTTTGAAACTGAAGTCCCTGACGCCTTTACTTCTCAGAATGGCGGAGAGCCGGCCTTCGGTGGTGGAAGTGTCGTCGGCGGCGCCGGCGCCGGCGGAACAGGAGGAGGAAGAGGAGAGAGGGAAGGAATCGGAGGACTGGTCGGCGGTGAGTTCAAGGTCTGTTATTCGTTGGAGGATCCGGGTTTGGGTTCTTTCGAGATCCGCTAATGGCTCCATGTATCCGGGTCCGACTTTGCCCGTCATGAAATGGTTTTACGCTCTCTGGCGGTTTTTATACCTGAAGAATCTTGGTGGGAATAGATTATCTTTAGTTAGATTTTTTTTTTTTTTTTAACTCATAATACTTCACAATAAAGAGAAATTATCACTCAATCAAATTCAAGGCACTTTTTAAAATTTATGGGAAAATTATTGTAGTGTTAGGAATTTCTCTTAAGGACTGGATGCAATTTTCGTCCCCCATCTTTTGATGGTAGCAAGATCGAGCCCCCATTAATTTTCAATTGGCAAAAACAATCCCCTCAAATGTTTTTCTCATCAATTTTAATTAACTTAACAGAAATTTTCTAATACTAACGGGAGAATGCCACATTCCGTCAATTTCTCTTATTATATTCATTTATCTACTGTTTGTGGGACCCACAGTTTGACCAGCCAAAAAAAATTAAAAAAAAACCAAAAATGAAATAAACAATAGAGGAACAAAAACGAACTTCTCTCATTCAAAATCCAAAATTCCATTTTCTTTCTAACTTCCAAACCCAAAAAGGCAGAAAAGAGTCGACTTTCACATCTGCTATCCAAAAACCCTAAATCAAAGAGAAACCACCAAATCTGTAAAATTTAACCTAAATAATTGACGGGGTTTCTGAAGTGAATCGTTATGGAGGGAATTTCAGAATCGTTGCTAGCTTTTGTGGATGCAAGATTGAGAGAGCAGAGGCACAACAATGACCCAGTTCCTAACTATGGTATGATCTTCTCCATTTCAGTGTTTTTGGTATTTTTTAGCATAGATCTGTTTGTTTTTCGATGTGAATGTGTGAAAAGTACAACCCTTTATGTAAATCCGTGTTTAAAACGTGGGACTGAGGGTTAGAGTTTCAGTTTTTGGTTGATTTGTCCCTTTGTTGCTTAGATGTGGTTACCTCTTCGATCGGATTATCCTAAAAGTTTGATACTTTTTGTTTGGATGCTAGTTATATGGTCAGAATTTGTTCACTGTTTGTAACCCATTGGTATAAAAAATGGGTCCGTGTGTTAGTTTCTGAGTGATGAAACTTTTTGGAAGCATGAAAGGCCCCTATTGTTTATTGAAAATGGACAATCAGAATCTAGGTTAAGGTTACATTTTTATTTTGTTCTGTTTGGTTAAAAGTGTTTCTATATGTTGTGAAGATATTTTGTCAAGGTGGTCCAATCAAAAAAGCATTTGAATATATCTCCTTTATGTTTATTTATGGGTTAAATTTTTTTTAGTATTATTAAACTCAACTTGTATTGTTTTTAGTAAACAATATATATCAAAGTAGAGTCCTAATGTTGCTGTTTTTATTGTCATGTGCAGAAAAAAACAGCAAGTTGTTGACAGTTCAGTTTTTCCTCTATGGAGAACTCAAAAAAGAATCCTACCCACATTATGAAGGTAGAGAGACGAGTGTTTACGACCACGTTGACTGTAGTGCCCTGCTGCTTGCTCATCTACGGATAATGTGTGATGCTGCATCTGGGAACAGGGGGGGGGACTAAGTTTTTCTGCATCAATGAGGGGATTGAAGAGGGTGATCTTCACGAGGTTGCCACTGACATTAAACTTCAAGAGCTGTGTAGAGATGCTCTAGCTGGTGATAGGCTACTAGTACTATATGACTATCCAGTTAATGATGTGGTTGATGATACAACTGGTGAAGATGCTGAAAGTAAAAGCGATAGTGATAGTAGTGATGGAGATTACGATGAAAAGGATTCGGAGTATGACCAGGAAGAATCTAAAAATGACTATGACTTTGCAGCTGATGACAGTGGTGGTGTAGAAGGGACTGAAAAACATAAAGCATCTACATCAAGTACGGGAGCTAAAAAGCTATCTAATTCTTCAGTTGGAGCTAAAAAGCTATCTAATTCTTCAGTTGGAGCTAAAAAGGTGCAACCTACATTACTGAATAAGACTTACAAGTATGATGAGGGTAACTACGATGACAACAGTGGGTCGGAACAGGAACCAGATTCTGAGGAAGACTAGCAGAGTATACAAGGATCAGATGCTGAAGATGTCGACATGCCTATGTTGTTTCATTCTAAGGACATGGATAAGCCACCCCTGAGATGTGGACTAACATTTAGTTCCCGGGCAGAATGTAAGGAAGCAATCAGACGCTAGAATATTAGGAGAGGCAGAAGATAGAGGTTCAAAAAGGATGACAAACGCAGAATAAATGCTATTTGTCCTGAGAAGTACAAGAAGGATCATAAAAGCAATAAGCAGTGTGACTGGATGATATATGTCAGCATCTGCAGTGGGTCCCCTGTTGTGACTACGTTTGTGACTCGGCAAAAGTGTTCAAGCAAAGAAATAAGAGTGTAATATCTGCCATTGCCGGTAGGATTTGTTCTTAGTTGGTGAAGGATAACCAGACCATCACAACTAGGGATTACAAGAGACTTGCAAAGGAGAAATACAAGTTTATTCTCACTAAAACGCAAGCTTATAGAGTAAGGAGGAAGTCCATGAGAATCGTATATGGGAATGTTGAAGATCAATATGATAAGCTGAGGGATTATTGTGGGGGAAATAATGAAGAGTAATCCTGGTTCTACGATAGCCCTAGTTGCAGATCCCATGTTTGTGGATGAGATAACATGTCAGGCAAGATTCCTCATATTGTACATCTGCTATGCTGCCTTAGAGATGGATTCTTGTCAGCATGCTGGCCTGTTATAAGGTTGGATGGAACATTCTTGAAGGGGGCAACCAGAGGTATATTACTCACAGCCGTAGGAGTTGACTATAACAATGAGGTATACCCAATAGCATAGGCTGTTGCTGAGGGTGAGACAAATGTATCCTGGGAATGGTTTTTGAATTTGTTGAAGAATGATTTGAGGATTGAAAGGGACAGTGAGTGGACTATTATGAGTGATAAACAGAAATGTTTAATTCAAGCTTGTGAAACGGTCTTTCCAAATGCTGCTCACAAGTTTTGTGTGAAGCATATGCATCACAATTTTTCTGATTGTGGGTTTAGGGGTAAAGCACTAAGGCAACTGCTCTGGAAAGCGACTAAGTCCACAACAGAGAACGATTTCTATGCGTATATGGCAGAGATGGCTGAGTTGAATAATGATGCTGCAGATTGGTTTAATGACAAACCAAAATCTGAGTGGGTAAGGACTTTTTTCAGTTTTTTGGCTAAATATGATATTTTGCTGAATAACCATTGTGAATCTTTTAATGGTATGATTAAGGATGCTAGATCTATGCCAATTGTAAGCATGCTAGATGAAATTAGAAGGATTATCGTAGAGAGGTTTTATGAAAACAAGGAAAGGGTCAATGGTTTGTGGAGTGATAGGGCAATATGTCCTAGGATTTTTAAAAGGGTAATCAACAACTTGAAGCAGGCAAAACTATGTCATGTTAAACCTCACGATGAGTTCCATTTTGAGGTTGAAGGGGGAGGGGGTGATGTTGGAAAGTACGCGGTGGACTTGAAAGAAAATACTTGTAGCTGTAGAAAATGGCAACTATGTGGCGTACTTTGCCCACATGTCATATGTGCTGCTTGGTGTGTTGACAAAGAGCCTTTGGATTTGGTAGATCCCTGTTACAGTGTTGAAGCATACCAACAGTGTTATGGTCCTTGTATCTTGCCAATGAGAGGTGAATCATAATGGGAAAAGGCACCAGGGTTATCATTTCTTCCCCCACTTTATGGTAGACCTCCAGAGAGGCCAAAGAGTACCAAAAGGAAAAAGAGTGTTGCTGAAAGAATAATTGAGGTTGATGGAAAACAGAAGCTGAGTAAGGTTGGGCAAACAATGAGTTGTAGTATATGTAAAATCTCAGGTCATAGTAGGAGAAAGTGCCCTTCAAGGACAGGCTCACAAGGGACACAAAATGAACCAGCTGTTATGCCCACCACAGGTCAGGGTGGATCCAAATATGGCTCTTGTGGACTCACAGGTCACAACCATAGGAAGTACCCTTTCATTGACCCACCAGAGAGGGTTGTAGACCTTGGTAGCAATGCTGATGACTGTTTTGATGTCGTAAACCTTGGAGTAAATATTGATGTCTCGTCTCCTGTAAGTGTTCTTTAATTCCAAATGCATTATTTCATTTTCTGTAAGACCACAAGATTAACATGTTTGCTGTGTAAACAGGGCAAGAGGAAGCTTGGAGACCCTGATGAGTCCAACTACGAAGAGGCTGGTCTTCATGAAAGCCACGTTGCGGTAAGCTTACTGTGTATGGACTTTCATTCTATTTTCTGATGTAAGTGTAATCTGTACAACATTTTGATGTAAAATTTTCTCAAGAAATGAGGTCCAATGAAGCTTTGCCAACGAATAAAATATAACATATAAAGAAAAAACAAAAATGAGCATGGTACATGTAAGTGTAATCTATCATTATGTTTTACAATTTTCATATGTTCCTTTATAGACACATCATTAATTTTTTCATATATTGTCAAAGGAGGAAAAAGGGCATTAGTTTGGTTCTCTTCTTAGTGGTATACAGAAGGTGAAACCAGAAGCACTGCGTAGAAGCCCTAGGAAAACGCAAGCAGCTGTAAGTATTCTATATTTTTCCCCATGCCTTGCAAAGAAAGTGGTTTTTGGATTTTGGAATGAGAATGTAGCTGTAAATTTTTCCTTGTAGGTTATTTTCAGACCCAACCCGAACCCATAGTTCAAAAGGAAAAGGGGAAAAGAAAAATGTCGACATTATTTCAGATTTCATCTCAGCCCATAAAAAATCACAAAAATGTGAAGATTCAAAAGAAAAAGGGGAAGAGAAAATGTCGACATTATTTTAGAGTTCATCTCAGCCCATACAAATTCACAAAAATGTCAAAATTCAAAAGGAGAAGGGCCGGGGAAAACAACAGGTTAATGTATATTGATATGTTTAAGTGTCGTATTTTAATATTGTTGATTATAAGATGTAGGCTTTTACTATGTAATCTGTAATTTTCCCTTCTTGTTTTTTTCAGAGTTTATCTCAACCCATCAAAATTCCCAAAAATGTCCAGATGAAAAAGGATATGAAAAAGGGAAAACAGAAGGTTAATCTGAACTTCTTAAGTAGTTGGATTGAATTGCCAAGTTCTTTGTTTGCCTGAATTAATTACTTTTTTCTTTCATGTTAATGTCTTTCTCAGACCAAGACTGATGAAAAGGAGCAGCAAGATGCTGAACCAGATGTAATGTTCTTAGAGGATCCTGTTCATCAGGTGAAGGAACTACGGGGTAGGACAATCAGTATTAATTCACCTAATCAGGTATTTCTGTGGATGAAAACATTCTAATCAGTAGTAATCCTTCCTTATATGTATTTTATGGTTATACATATTTTATCAGGCCAAGGAAGGTAATAAAGCCATGAAGAGAAAAATGAAAGGAAATCAACAGACTAAATCCAGCTTTCAGCTTATTGATGAGCCAATTGAGGACACTCAAACGGAACTATCCCAGGAGCCAATCAGTAAGGTGACATGCAAGAAGGAAATATCTGCAAAGGTGGTTTCTGTTGAGCTTTCTTCTGGTACAGACTCACAGATCAATAACTCCAAGTTTCAGGAAACTTTTGGTGATGTTGTACCCCAGCAGTACAAGGTATGCTATTCACATCAGATAGCTCAGTTGAAAAATGTGAAGAAGGTAGTTGTTCAGTCAAGTATGGCCACAAAGATGCATAAACCAAATGGTAAGATTGATTGGGGCTCACAAGCTGTCATTGACAACATTGCTGAACAAACAGCTAAAGCTATTGCAAGAGGCAACGAGTTGTATAAGATGTGTGGATTAAAACCCCTCCTTCCTCAACAGATGGTATGTTCACCATTGGTTCTACTCAGGCCAAACCTTTATCAGATATAGCTGCTGAAGTTATTGCAACAACCAATGAGTTGTATGAACTTTATGGTCCTCATGTCTTGGGAGATATTGGTAAGCCGAAATCCATGTTGAAGCAAGTGAAGACTGAAAAGTAACAGCTCTGTTTAAGCTGGTTGTCTTCTTTTAACAGTATGTGTCAAACATGTAGTTTGAAGATAACTTGGTAGTAGACTCTATTATGTAAAGCAAGTATTAAGTATACTTGGATTTTATATTCTTATTTTCAGCTCTAGGCTTTCTAGTAGATGTCTTTGTGGGATGTGATCATGAAACAGAAGGAAATATCTTCTGCTCTCTTTTTGTACGCATCCTACTATTTTGTCCTTAATGTAAGACATCTTAAGATGCATAACTTCCATATATGGTAATGAAATCGGTGTATATGCGACACCTTAAATTATGCTCTTCTACTTAGCTTCTTTGCATCTTCATAGGTTTACATTTGAAATTAAGTGTATGAGCCGCAGAAATCTCAATCCTTTTTATGGTGCTTGTTCTATGGCAGAAGGATGATGAAGACCGATAATCTCATTTGTAATGAACACAATGAAAATAAGATTAAAATGTGCATATCAAATGCCACAAATTTGGCAACATACATTCCATTAAGATCACCCATTAAAACTCGAACTATATTCAACTTGAGAACCATGATCCTACTTTCTAATACACTTCTAATACGAACTACACTTCTAATACAAACTAAACATCAACAGCTGACATCATCCTACCTTCTACACTCCCTCAGACTAGGACACAGATCAACACGACTACAACTTAGACACACAAGAGAAGTAAGCAAACTACAACTTGGACAATTTATCAAACAGTTTCAGTGCATTCTTCATTCCCTTCATATAATAGAAGAAAAACCATAGCTGCCAACACAATTGCATCAATTTGGGTCCAAAATAATTTCTTCTTCAACTGCCTAATTTCTTCATCATCTGTGTTGCATCTTCTGAGCAATCCAGGGATAATTGTCTTTGCTCTAGCACACACATCCGGGTCATGACATCGAAAAAATTACACTGATCGCCCTCTACAATTCCAAAACATCACACCTTTGAATTCCCCTCAACTTATCACAAATTGAATATTACTTAAAGAAATTTAATTTACCGGATACAAAGGGCAGCTCCAAAACCTTCTCCCAAGATGATCGTCTTTCCAATAAGTTACCAAGTTTACAATTAACCCACACCGACATCTCACAACACCGTTTCCTTCCATCTGTAATTTTCCCTTTCAAAATATGCTGCACTTCTTTTCCTTTTTCTTTTTTTTTTTTGACAATAATACTCTGATAAATCTGCAAAGATTGAGAAAGAATCACCTGTATTTATGCTATGTGGAGGGTTTTTTTTGGCGCGAATTTTGCTCCCAATTTCGCGCCTTCTCGTAGTAATTTTCCTCTTTTTTTATTTGAGTTTTTATTTTATTAAATTTTTTTAATTGTTAAACTTAGTAGGTTCCACAAATAGTAACAAAATGAATATAAAAAGAGAGAATTGACGGAGAGTAGATTTGTTCCGTTAATTTTTGAAAAATTCTGTCAAATCAACTGAAATTGACGAGAAAAATATTGTAAGGGACTATTTTCGTGAATTGAAAATTCATGATGACTTGATTTTGCTACCTCCCAAAGCTGGGGGACGTAAAGTGAATTTTACTACATGGTGGCAAATTTTTGGTACGTGTTTTTTGGGTAGTTTGTTCTACGTGATTACGTTTCATTTTCTCTCTTTTTACTGTTCATTTTCTCTTTACACAAAGGTTTTTTTTATTTTATTTTGTTTATATATATACTAGTGATGTCTGGTCGCGCAACGCGCGACTCTGGCCCAGTCTATCTGTAAATCTTAGAAATGTTTATATTTGAAAAAAATAAAATTTTGTATTTGGAGCGATATATTTTAGAAATGTTTGAAGGATTTAAAAATGTTTTATAAGTGTGATCATAGAAATAATTGTATTTCACAAAAAAAAAAGAAATTGTATTTCGCCATGTAAGTTATAGAAATATTTTATAAGTGTTACTTATTAAATATAAATAGCCTTAATCGAATATATGTATTGAAGTAAATGTTAAATAAAATATAAAAGCATCCTAATAAATTTAAATATTAGTAAGATGATTTATTGATGTTCGATCGTGCCAAATCAATACTTAATTTTGGAGATTTTTAATAGCTTTGTAATAAGCTTCATCCGCAGGGTATACGCTTAAAACAAAATTGACACTTTGTAACAAAAACCTAATTGATTAATTTAACTTAAAAAAAACACTCTAAATGAATGAAACATAAAGAAAAATTTTTTTTTTAAAAAAACGTGTAACGTAAAGTGCAAAGGGAGATTTAGTAATCTAGTTATGGTTTAGACAAAAGGGCAATTTAGTACTTTCTATATGCCACGTGGCAATCATATAAGGTGTTTGAAAGTGAGGTTTTTGTTTCTAATATAGTAGGATATATTTCTTGGGTGATATGAAGTGTTATGCATGTTTTAGGGATGATGGAGCCCATTTCATTTTTCATTTTCACATAACAAAATAAAAATGACGATAAAAAAATTCATGTTGAACAAGTAAAATTTACTTAACAAATATAATTCCATCCTATCCTCTTTGTAAGACATGAAACCACGTATCTTTTTCAATTGTATAAATATAAACATTATTAATCCTTCGTTTCAGAATGATTGTCCAATTTTAAAATTTAGGTTTGGAAGGTTCTTCTAGAATAATTGCTATGCTTTAAAGATTATCAACCAAACCATCCTACCAGTGAAATTACTCAATGTTCCGAACTGAGCAAAAAATCAATCAAGAGCTTTCACTCATATCAACTAGAGAACTACTCCTTTTCGAAAAAAAACTACAGAACTACTAAAAATTTGGTGATATCTATATAAAAAGTAAAAAATTAAATGAGATAATTATTTTAATAAATTGAACTATTTTAATGTTCCGATGAACCACTGTGTCTCTTTACCCAAGATTTAGTGTGCTCAGATATTTTGACTTAATACTCGTCATGGGAATTAAATTGCCAAGTGATTAAATTGCCAAGTGAAAAGCAAATAAGAATGTAAACATTTAGGTCAATCTGTCCTACGCAAAAAATCACAATTTTTTCAACCAATTAATTTCCACTCTTTTTACTAATTTAAAAAATAAGTTCACGAAGGACAATGCAACTACTAAATGGAGAGTACATTTAAACTAAGCTAACGACCACCAAAGTAAACTTAGAGGCACACTCCTGAAAAAGTCGATAAAAGCCAAACGTACCTTTCTCCATTTGAAATTAAGTACTCCCTCGTCCCATAATTATTGTCCAGTTTAAGTTTTTATTTTTAGTTCAAATTATATTAAAAGTAAAATTTCTAATTGAATAATAATTTTGGGACAGAAAGAGTGTGTAACAGTCATCTCCGCTGTTCCCTACTTAACCATAGGGAAGGTTTGAAGTTGGATCTCGAAGACTCGAACACGCAAACATGTTTATAAACGAGTGGAAAAAGAAGTCTAAGGTCAAAATAAGGTTACTATTATACATATGACAAATCTATACTATTTTAATGTTATGTATAAAACCGTAACCACATCTAGCCAGCCAAAATGGTATTACAACAAGACCTTTCGCTTTACATGGGAGATTTTCTAGTATTATTCAGTAATCTATTAAAATGATCAAAATTTGAAACTAGTTAACTCATGATAATCAGCTACAACATATGGTTATTTAATATTTTGATGAAGAAAGGAAAGTAAAATTAAGTCTTTTTAATTACTTTTTAATAGCCATATAAGTCTATTCATCGCTCTCAAATCTTCACAGTTATCTATAGTACTTAATTAAAGCAGCAAACAAAAAGGACATGTGTCAGTACTACAATGAAAATTTTCCCGCCAAAAGCCATTTTCAGTACAAAATCATTTTTGACAAGTGGCACTCTAACTAATCAGAAAAAAAAGATGGAATAGATAACTAATCAGTACAAAATCATTCTGTTGTAGATATTGGTTTATAATTTATGTAAACCCGGACATAAGTTAAATGTTGTAAATTAAATGTTATAAATCTGCGCATAGATTTATGTATAATAACTCACTTTCTGTCCTTTCAATCGATTTTTTATTCTTTTATTTTTTTTATTCTTTTAAGAATGATTCGTATTTTTTATTTAATCGATTTAAAAATACAGGCAGTATCTCGGGCATTCGCCCGGAGCAAGCATCTAGTCAAGTCTTATACTATTAATCTTGAGTTGACAATCAAAACTTTCAAAGCAGCTAGTCAAGGCACACGTTTATTGACTTTTAAGGTGTTCATCATTCGTGAACAAAAACTTCATACTCATCCCCGCTCAATCGATATAACTAGTCCTAGAACATGGTCATTCACAGATTTCCGAATTGAAAATGGGAAGAAGTGTGTTTTTCTCTTTGATTTTGGCAACTCTTGTCGGCCAAATCATATCTTCCACCTTTGGCAAATGTCTCGTTGATCAGAGATCAAACCTTCTTCAATTTAAAGATGGTTTGCAGTTTGATCCCGCAGCTGCAGACAAGCTTGTAAAATGGAATATAACAATGGATTGCTGCAAATGGGATGGAGTGGAATGTGATATCTTTGGCCATGTTATCAGCCTTGAACTCGCTAATCAATCAATCACCATCAGAAATGAAGGCTGGAAGACTCTTTTCAAGCTGCAACATCTTGAGCACCTAAATCTGGCCTGGAATGATTTTTCCAACGCCACATTCCCGGTGGAATTGTATAATCTCACCAATTTGAGATACCTGAACTTTTCAGCATCAATGTTCTTCGGAAATATCCCTGTTGGGCTGTCCAGATTGAGTAGTTTGATCACTTTTGATATCTCCTACTCTAACGAACTTCTTAGGATAAACAATCCAGGCAGTTTAGAAGTACTCTTCAGGAATCTAACAGAGCTGAGGGAGCTTAATCTGG